CTGACATGCTGGAGCGTTTTCAACACAAACCCTAAACACTAAGCAGTTTTCGGGCCATTGCACCCGAGTTAGCTTGGCGGTGTCCTACGCCCCTAAACCCTTAGCCCTACCTCAACCCCCAAATAGCTTACGTTTTTGAGGGCTTATATAAAGAAGTTATACTAAGGAACCCTAAAAAGGTAGGTACTTTAGGGTCCAGGGAAGCCCTAAACCTCTTCGTTACCAGATCCTGAGTCTCTGCCTACTCCTGACCATGATGGCCTTGATGTTCCCAGCTGAACCTCGACTTAATATTTGGGCCTCATGAATTTTAGGGTTCTTTATGCTACTAATACTACAAAGGACCCCAAAACCCTAGTCTAATTATTAGGGCCCCTACATTACGTCGTCACCTGCTGAGTCCTTGATGCTAGGCTCGTTTCTATGCAACTCCTTCTGGGGGGTGCGCTTGACCAGTACTGCTGCAACAGAAAGGGGCGCATTGCACCTAAAAAACCCCGAAACCCCTAAACCCCAAAGCCCTGACGGCTTTTCGGCTTAGGGCAGTTCAGGGCTTACCCTAAGGCTCAAAATCGCCCAAGAGCTTTAGAAAGTATGGTCTTTGGGCCCATAAGCCTTACGGTTGATGATATAAGCCCTGCATTACCGTAAGGACCCTAAACTATGGGACCCATGGTATATACCTTACAATGGGTAATGCAGGATATATATATATATATCATCAACCGTATCTTCTGAATCCTAAGAGCTGTAGGGCCTGGTGCCGAGATCGCGCTCAGTCCCGGACACCACCAATGGTTTAGGGTTTAGGGTTTGGGTTTGGGGGTTTAGGATTTATGGTTTTAGGGTTTAGTGTTTAGGATTTAGGATTTAGCGTTTGGATTTGGGATTTAGGATTTAGGGTTTAGGATTTAGGGTTTAGGATTTAGGTTTTAGGGTTTAGGATTTAGGATTTAGGGTTTAGGGTTTAGGATTTAGGGCTTAGGGTTTAAGGCCTCCAATTCTGCTGCGCGTGTGCTTTTCGTGGCTGCAGGAGAAGGTGGAACGGGCCACTACGGCGTGGACCTCAGACGCACGGTGGTGTTTTCGGATCTGGGATCGCCTTACAATAATGCTGTCCAGGGCTTAAATCCTGAAGCCTAATCCCTGAATTTTGAACCCGACATCCCTGAACCCTAAGTTCTTGAATGGGATGGTGGAAGCTGCAAGAGTCGAGAACCGCTGCCTGCGTTTTTGGCAAGACTCGTATACAACACAAACTCCAAAGACCTGCATGAAGCTCCTTGAGAGCACAATTTCCTTAAACCATGGCAAAACAGCCTCGAGATCCTCAGCCATCTATGAAACAGCCGGAATCCCACCGCAACCTTACTGGGTTTGGGGATTTGTGCAGGGCCGGGGGGTTTAGGGTATAGGGTTTAGCTTGCAGAGGCTTTGGCTTTCGGACTTGGTATTCTGAGCCCCAGAAAGTTGGAGCATGGATTTAGGATCATGAGTGCTGGGATTCCTTTACTTTAAAGGGCATGAGGATCATATAATGATGTTCCTACTTTCTGTCTTCTACCGTAGGCAGGATTCCGGCCTCAAGGTTCGAGGTTGTATCTGCTGCATGCCTTCTTACCCAAAGGGTCCATGTACTTAAATGGTATAAACTTTGGCCTTAAAGTAGTTCCTATTTGTGTACTTTGGGGCCGAAGTATCTACTATTTGGGCACATGGACCCTTAGGGGCTTCCACTGTTCTTGTCTCGTTGCTCGGCAAGTCCCCTTCGGAAACAAAAAGACCCGACGGTCCCAACAGCTTCTGGGAAACGTGGCTACAGATCTTCGGGTTCGGGTTGTCGACATTGAACCCAGGATGCAGGGTTTAAGTTAAGAGTTTAGGGTTAATGAGCTTAAATGTTGCACTAAAAGGTTGCAGCTGCGGTTTGCATGAAGGTTTAATGCATGGGCCTTAAAAATGAGAATGGGGTTTTGAGGGTTCATGATTATGATTGTAGTCTGACATACCCCAACCCCTATTCTAATTATTAATGCCGCTTTTTTAGCTGTCACGAAGCCTTGTGCAGCCTACATTACAGGAGCCTAAACCCAAAGCCCTACCAAACCGTTGTCAGAATCCAGGGAGCCCAGCTTAGAACCTAAATAGTAGGATCGATATTGCAACGACCCCTAGTTAAAAGTTTTTTCAGTTTACAGAAACCCCTAGGATTAATGCAACAAACATAAATCCGGCAGGAGGAGGTTGCCGGCGAGAGGACTGGAGGAGACTGCCTCGTCGTGATGGAAGTCTTTGAGAGATAGCATCGTGGTCGTGGTAGTATATGGAAAATAATAAAAGATTCCGCTGACGCTGAAATCTCTTATAGTACGGTAGATACTTCACGCTTCATAGACACAACCCCACCTTCAGACACCTTGCAGAAAAAGAGCCGTAAACATCGGGATTTCGATTTCGAGCTAGCCTACCCTACAGCCACCGCACTCACTTAAGCCCAACACTCTAAACCAATTCTTGTAACTCTTTCCGTAAGGGTGCATGTACCCAAATAATGCATACTTTGGCCCTAAAGCACCTGTAGACTTTTAGGCCAACGTATATACTATTTGGTACATGAGCCCTTACATATAACGCACCTTAAACCCCAAATGCTGACCGGCAGCACATTCTCTGAGCGTCAACGCAACACACGTCCTGCTCAAGCCTTCGTGGAGCAATGGCTTATCGGGTTTAGGGTTTGGGGTTTCTTGTGTTTCACTTGGAGCGCACTTCAGGATTTACGACTGAGTCCCTTCACACGTGGAACTTTCATGAGAAACCTGTGCACTGGGTTGAAAGAACACTGAAGCTTGGCCTACATGCCACGGAACTGACTAGCTGTGAAGTAGCCGTACACTTCCCTAAACCACTAAACCCCAAGCCCTACACCCCTGAATTTCTTCCTCCCGAAGCCTCTCTGTGGAGACCCCATGGCGCCATAGTGTGTGACTGAGCACCCCCGCACGGCAAGACATCGAAGCTCCTTGATCTTAGTGTTTAGGGTAGAGGAGTTTAGGGGTTAGGGTAGAGGAGTTTAGGGTTTGGGGTAGAGGAGTTTAAGGCTTGCGGAGTTTAGGGTTCAGGGTAGAGGAGTTTAGGGTTCAGGGAGTTTAGGGTTTAGGATAGAGGAGTTTAGGGTAGAGGAGTTGATGCCTTGGCGCTTGAAAATGCGTTTGTCGGTCTCGCGTCTGAAGGGTTCAGATCTTGAAAACCCTAAGCCCTAAACCCTAACCCCCAAGAGCCCCAAGTCCCAAACCCTGCAGTTCTGAAACCCCCAACCCTGAAACCCTGTACCCACAGCTCTGAACCCCTAAACCCTAAACCTAATATCATAGCCATGAGGCTTTAAAGCACATAACCCTAAGCCCAAGACCCTTAGGGTACTTATGCCGGGATCACTTGAGGAAGCTGCTGCTGCGGTGGGTTTGGGTTCCTTTTTTTCTAACTATAAAGGAGCCCAAAACGCTAAATCCAAAACCCTAAACCCTATGCCCAAAGCCCTAAGCCCAAAACCCTAAACCCCAATTAAACCCTAAGGCCCCTGCATTAGATTGAAGTTGTCAGAAGTTGAGAACTTGTCAGAAGTTGAGAGCTGGTCCCTGGCTTCAGAATGGGTTTAGTGATTGAGCGTTAGGAATAATTACAAACACTATTGAAGGGGTTCCTTTTCATATGTATAGTATGGTATACCCCAGAAGCCTGTTCTGATTATTCAGGCCTCTGTATTCATTTGTGCGGTAGGTTGCTGTAAGGGTGCTACAGGGGCTACTATAAACCGATACTAAAGGCGGTCTGTTTCTCCTCACCTGCTCAGTAATCAGGGCTGTGTGCCCTTAGTGATACATGGGTGGTGCATCGATTGCTATTTCGTGTCTATATCCGTCTATCCTAATGTGGTGTGTTGTTGGTGTGATGTTCGCGTTTGGATTGTTGTTGACTGGTGAAACTTCCAAAGTGTAGAGTGCATCAGCGCGCAGACACCGAACACAACTGTAACATGCAGTGAAGACTTGACTTGCATATTGGCATCCCGCTGCGTCCTGAAAGATGCTAACCAATACAACCCCTCACCCTTCCCCAATACGAAATAACAACCAAGAGCAATACGGTTGATGATATAAATCCTGCATTACTACATTACCTTAAGGCAACACCAAAGCTCCAAACAAGAAACCGGCCGCAAAGTTTGCGTCCATAGATGCAGTTCAGGAGACCCTTAACCCCAAACCCCTCAACCCCTAGACCCAGAAACCCTAGACTTCTAAACCCTAAACCCTAAACCCTAACCCTGAACCCCTAAACCCCAAACCCTTTGAGCTGCTTAGCAAAAAACAGAGCTCAGGAAATGGTCGGCACGGAGCCGAGCTGGACCATGATCCCCGGCAAGGCTGGGCGGAGCAATACAGCAGCAGTTCTCAAAAGTAGTTGTCTTGTTTTTAGGGTTCAGGGTTTATGGTTTAGGGCCCCTTTCGGAGTACGATTTGGAGTGTGAGTTTTATCTCGCCCTAAACCCTCAACCCTAGCATTTTCGCAAGTACATCCTGGCGTCGAACTTTGAGGCGCTCTGCAATTCCGCAGGTGGAGGTAGTTTCAGTTATAGGGTCCACCGCTCGCACCCTTTGTCAGCCTTAACGACAATGTCATTCAGCATGTGGGTAGTTTTCTAAATTAGGGCCTCTATTGGGTCACCAATACAGTGCGGCACCCTTATGAAAAGAGCCCCACATTGACCCTAACAGAGAAAACTACCCAGGTACCTAGGGTTTGGGGCTTAGGGCTTTGATGAGAGCCCAGCGATCGAACAACAACTCTGAAGGGCGGGGCAGTGAGCCACAACGCCTGCCGAAAGACCTACGAGAAGCAACTGCTGGAGCTCCGATCTCAGTTTGGGTGTCCAGGGTCCAGTGTCTGCCCGTAGCCGAAAGCGCCTGCTGTTTCCTTAAAAAGGTAGGGTTTGGGGCTGCAGGTGCAGTAGGGCTTGAGGCAATGCCAGAAAACTGCTGACGTTTAAAGTCGTAGTAAGTAATCTCCTAAACCCTAAACCCTAAACCCTTAATGCCGCTGCTGCTGCTGCAATGCACAAGCTGTGACTGCGGTTTCTACCGGGCCATGGCAACGAAGAGCAAAAGACAAGAGCAGAAAACATGAAAGTAGGACTATCTAGTATGCCATGCTGGAACCCTTCACCGGGACCTTGAGAGGGACCCTCCTCTATTTTTGGTTAAACTGCTAAGCTAAACCCTAAACCCCATAAACCCTTTCTACTCATCAGATCCCTACCACCGATTCAAGGTCCAACATCCCTTGGCACAACGACAACGACTGCAGGCTGCAACTGTTGAGTTCTTGAGGGTGTAGAGCAGTGATATGGTATTTCATTTTTTTCAGCTCAGGATTTGAGGTTCGTGTACACATCTTTACACACCTATTTAGAGACAAACACAAATGCATACATGTATTTGTTCCGTCATCTATACTCATGCTCACTTTGTTTGATGATCTTATTGTTGGTAATTATCTGTTATTCAGCAGCCCCATAAACTATTTGTGTAGTTATCAAGGTCATATATACATGTGTATACATACATACATAATTATATATGTACATGTACACTCTACACACATATATATGTATGTACATGTACACCGTACACACATACATATGTATATATATATATATACAAATGTGTGCATGCGCTGTGTATGTATATATATATATATGTGTGTGTGTGTGTGTGCGTGTGTGTGTGTATGTATGTATGCAAGTATATGTGTATGCTTGCATGCATGCATGCATGTATGTATGTATGTGTGTGTGTGTATGTATGTATGTATGCATGTATGTATGTATGTATGGATGGATGTATGGATGGATGGATGGATGGATGGATGGATGGATGTATGGATGTATGGATGTGTGGATGTATGTATGTATGTTTGTATGTTTGTATGTATGGATGTATGTATGTATGCATGTATGTATGTATGTATGTATGTATGTATGTACATATGTATATATGT